ATAAATTGTCAAGGTTATGCTCATTATCTGTCTCCATGAGCGCAAAACAAACTCCAGTTGCACCTATGGGTAATAATCAATGTTGGGGTTGAGGTCTATGTTTATTCTAAAGTTCCCACAATGACAATATCACATTTATTGTTTTACTAATCTTAAATAAGCACACTGAAAGCTGGGATTTGATTCCAGTCTTTTTTGTTCTTTCCTTCATTTCCTAATCTCAGTCTGTCCATCTGTGCCAGCCTCCCAGAGCCTTGCCCTGCTGTTACCTCCTCTGCTCCGTGTGTGTTTGGGGCTTACAGCCTTTTTTCTGTAACCAGCTGGAGACGTTCAACAATAATAACACAAAAAGGACAGACTGTGGCTTTTGGCAGCTCGTGGTTTAACATAAAAACAGCAGAAGCAAAATAATAGAGGACTCAAAAGACCAACTGGACATCTGATTGGATGGTAAACATTTAACTGAGATCACTACAGTAATAACCAATAATATAATAAACTAAAGCTTTAATCAATCATTTATTTGGTTTCTCTTTTTCTTCAGAATTGTTTTTAATACTACACTGTAAACTTTAAGCATCAAGTTCTGTAGTTGTCGTTAAATACATTTCTCGTACCCTTTCTCCTGACGATGAACTCAAACTTGGCCGGCACCAGGGAGTCCAGGCTGATGTTGATCAGGTCCAAACCAGCTTCTTTCAGCTTTGGCAAGAGCCTGGATAAGTTAATACCGTTAGTTGTTACTGCAACAGTTTTCAGGCCCTCCAGCTTCTTTAGTTCAGCTGAAAAAAGAAAACGCAACAAAATGTTAATCAACTCTACACCTAGAAACTTTAATGTAAAAAAACTAATATTTCTCTTTGAACGTATTGAAAAATACGATACCAAATACTGATGGTAGAAGAAAGATGCCCAATGAAGTTGTTTTTTAGCACTTCATGATCTCAAAATGACAGGAAATTGGTTTACGAGTTTCTGCATTTCTATAAACAGTTTTTAGTTTTTTAGAAATTAAAAAAAAAAAAAAAAAGAAAAAACGTTTTATATAACACTTGCTTCAGTTGTATCAACTAAAATGTACACCTTAGTTTAGGTCTTTTTGATCAGCAGATGAAATGCATGTTAAACCTGGATGTGTTTTGTCTTTAAAACTGTATTTTTCCAGTCCCATGACAGTGTTGCTCTTTATGGATCATCAGGAAGAACACAGTCTTCTTCACAAAAACACTAATTGTTAGTCACAACACACACTGTATTCTTTTGTGCCAAGCGTAGTTACGAGCACAAAGTTAGTTCATAGAGTTGAGGTTGAAATGGTTAATTAACAAATAAGGTTGTAAAACTTTAACCAGTTCATTTTGTATCAACAGAACACACAGCTGTGGTGCAACATCGTTTTCACATCCACACGTTCGTTTTAACATTAAGGAATCCAGTGAAAATCACTTCTTTACGCTTTAGTTCTGATCCAGTCAGAAGGTTTAGCACGTGAATGTCTGGATAGAAAAAGTTTGTAAGGGTTTGTAAAAAGCTCTAAAAAAGACAAAATATCACTTTTAAAAGTGCAAATTAGGATTTTAGAAATCATAGAAGATGAAACATCAGCTACAATTAAAGGATTGAGCCTTTTCAACTTATTTGCTCCTCATTTTCTTACTGATGATATCCAGTACATCGGGTCTGATGAGAGGCTCTCCACCAGTGAGGCGAATTTTGTCCACGCCTTCTCGGACAAAGAGGCGAGCCAGAGTCAGCACCTCCGAGGTGGAAAGCAGCTGGGCTCGTGGCGTGAGCTTCACTCCCTCCTCTGGCATGCAGTACTGACCTGAGGGAGGGAAACATCAAATATGTAAGCTGCTACTAAAACCAAAACCAGCTAACATTAGAGTTTAAATTAAAAGAAGAGAGTAAAAGTGTTGCAGGGGCAGCCATATAGGTAACAAGTTAAATGTCACATATAGAAAGTTAAAAATATATTTTTAAAGCAAACGGTTAACGTTCACACCAACATAAAATATAAAAGTTGTAGTAGCAGTGACATGATGACGCTTATATTTATTATAAGGTGGATTAGAGCAGGAGAACATAAGTTTAATTTCATATTTTGCAGAAAGAGACTCACAGCGGAAGTTGCATTTCTCGGTGAGGGAGATGCGCAGGTAGTTGTGTCTGCGGTCAAAGCTGTCGGTGAGAAATGCTGAAAATGGCAGGATGTTGTCGTCTTTCAGCTTCTCCTGGGAAAAAAAAACAAAAAGCAGAAAAAAAGACCCTTTGAAACAGATGATAATGAGAATAAGGCAGCAGCTCATGTCCCCCTTGACAAACTATTGTGTAACAAGTCAATCACTTCTTCACACAGAAGAATGCAGAGTTTTAAACAGCTCATGACCCCACAAATGTAACCTGTGGAACACAGTTACGTAAAAAAGGTTTAGGTCAAAGGTCAACATGTGTCTCAAGGTTTGATGTTTATTTTAGTATTAGACTGATTTCAGGCCTGATGTGCTTTAAATACAAAGGGCTAGAACTTAAAAAAAAACACAAATATGTCACATTATCCTTGTCATGTTAATGTTAACTATAATTCAGTGTTGATGCATCAAACCCCAAGTTTTAATGACATCATCATCCTCTGACCACTATACCTAAAACGTGGCTTAACTGCTGGCAACCTGTTTATAAGTACAAAAGTGAAGTTTAAGAAGAGGTAAGGTAATAAAGAGATATTATGAGGTTATTTCTCAATGCATGTCATTGACATATTCAAACTTTGGATTTCCTTAAGGCCATAAACATGAAACCAGGATTTTTTCCCTGAATTATTGAGCATGAACTTTGATCAAACCAGTCCTTTAACAGCAGCACCTGGCTATTAGACTTCATATTCAGGTTTTACATTTAAGTGTTTTTATTTGTCGTTAGCCTTACCAGTTTAGAGCTGGTTTTCAGAGCTGCAGTGAAGTTGGGAGCAGTGAAAGTAGAGTCTCGGAGATCAATTCTTTCATTTTCCTTGTGCGTAGCACTGGAGTACATCCGCCGCACGCTCCCATTCACGCGCCGAGAGAAGAGTTTTGTGACATTTATCAAGCTGTTTTGTCTCTGAAGCAAGCGGCAGCACATTCCAGGAGGAGTAGCCATGATAGCACTTACTTCTGACAGCTCAAAGGGTTACTACTCAATGCCAAATGCTGTCTTTAGAAAAACATGTCGAACACAGGGACTGTAAGGGGCGGGGACACAACAGCCAATCATATTAAGGGACGCTGGTTCAGGTGCATTCTGGGAAAGAAAGTCCACAGTGAAAACAAGAGGGACAACTCTTTAGTTGAATGAATTGAATTGAACTAAATTAAATTAAATTAAATTATATGCATGCATACATACATACATACATACATACATATATTTATTTATGTATGTATGTATGTATGTATGTATGCATGCATATAATTTAATTTAATTTAATTTAGTTCAATTCAATTCATTCAACTAAAGAGTTGTCCCTCTTGTTTTCACTGTGGACTTTCTTTCCCAGAATGCACCTGAACCAGCGTCCCTTAATATGATTGGCTGTTGTGTCCCCGCCCCTTACAGTCCCTGTGTTCGACATGTTTTTCTAAAGACAGCATTTGGCATTGAGTAGTAACCCTTTGAGCTGTCAGAAGTAAGTGCTATCATGGCTACTCCTCCTGGAATGTGCTGCCGCTTGCTTCAGAGACAAAACAGCTTGATAAATGTCACAAAACTCTTCTCTCGGCGCGTGAATGGGAGCGTGCGGCGGATGTACTCCAGTGCTACGCACAAGGAAAATGAAAGAATTGATCTCCGAGACTCTACTTTCACTGCTCCCAACTTCACTGCAGCTCTGAAAACCAGCTCTAAACTGGTAAGGCTAACGACAAATAAAAACACTTAAATGTAAAACCTGAATATGAAGTCTAATAGCCAGGTGCTGCTGTTAAAGGACTGGTTTGATCAAAGTTCATGCTCAATAATTCAGGGAAAAAATCCTGGTTTCATGTTTATGGCCTTAAGGAAATCCAAAGTTTGAATATGTCAATGACATGCATTGAGAAATAACCTCATAATATCTCTTTATTACCTTACCTCTTCTTAAACTTCACTTTTGTACTTATAAACAGGTTGCCAGCAGTTAAGCCACGTTTTAGGTATAGTGGTCAGAGGATGATGATGTCATTAAAACTTGGGGTTTGATGCATCAACACTGAATTATAGTTAACATTAACATGACAAGGATAATGTGACATATTTGTGTTTTTTTTTAAGTTCTAGCCCTTTGTATTTAAAGCACATCAGGCCTGAAATCAGTCTAATACTAAAATAAACATCAAACCTTGAGACACATGTTGACCTTTGACCTAAACCTTTTTTACGTAACTGTGTTCCACAGGTTACATTTGTGGGGTCATGAGCTGTTTAAAACTCTGCATTCTTCTGTGTGAAGAAGTGATTGACTTGTTACACAATAGTTTGTCAAGGGGGACATGAGCTGCTGCCTTATTCTCATTATCATCTGTTTCAAAGGGTCTTTTTTTCTGCTTTTTGTTTTTTTTTCCCAGGAGAAGCTGAAAGACGACAACATCCTGCCATTTTCAGCATTTCTCACCGACAGCTTTGACCGCAGACACAACTACCTGCGCATCTCCCTCACCGAGAAATGCAACTTCCGCTGTGAGTCTCTTTCTGCAAAATATGAAATTAAACTTATGTTCTCCTGCTCTAATCCACCTTATAATAAATATAAGCGTCATCATGTCACTGCTACTACAACTTTTATATTTTATGTTGGTGTGAACGTTAACCGTTTGCTTTAAAAATATATTTTTAACTTTCTATATGTGACATTTAACTTGTTACCTATATGGCTGCCCCTGCAACACTTTTACTCTCTTCTTTTAATTTAAACTCTAATGTTAGCTGGTTTTGGTTTTAGTAGCAGCTTACATATTTGATGTTTCCCTCCCTCAGGTCAGTACTGCATGCCAGAGGAGGGAGTGAAGCTCACGCCACGAGCCCAGCTGCTTTCCACCTCGGAGGTGCTGACTCTGGCTCGCCTCTTTGTCCGAGAAGGCGTGGACAAAATTCGCCTCACTGGTGGAGAGCCTCTCATCAGACCCGATGTACTGGATATCATCAGTAAGAAAATGAGGAGCAAATAAGTTGAAAAGGCTCAATCCTTTAATTGTAGCTGATGTTTCATCTTCTATGATTTCTAAAATCCTAATTTGCACTTTTAAAAGTGATATTTTGTCTTTTTTAGAGCTTTTTACAAACCCTTACAAACTTTTTCTATCCAGACATTCACGTGCTAAACCTTCTGACTGGATCAGAACTAAAGCGTAAAGAAGTGATTTTCACTGGATTCCTTAATGTTAAAACGAACGTGTGGATGTGAAAACGATGTTGCACCACAGCTGTGTGTTCTGTTGATACAAAATGAACTGGTTAAAGTTTTACAACCTTATTTGTTAATTAACCATTTCAACCTCAACTCTATGAACTAACTTTGTGCTCGTAACTACGCTTGGCACAAAAGAATACAGTGTGTGTTGTGACTAACAATTAGTGTTTTTGTGAAGAAGACTGTGTTCTTCCTGATGATCCATAAAGAGCAACACTGTCATGGGACTGGAAAAATACAGTTTTAAAGACAAAACACATCCAGGTTTAACATGCATTTCATCTGCTGATCAAAAAGACCTAAACTAAGGTGTACATTTTAGTTGATACAACTGAAGCAAGTGTTATATAAAACGTTTTTTCTTTTTTTTTTTTTTTTTAATTTCTAAAAAACTAAAAACTGTTTATAGAAATGCAGAAACTCGTAAACCAATTTCCTGTCATTTTGAGATCATGAAGTGCTAAAAAACAACTTCATTGGGCATCTTTCTTCTACCATCAGTATTTGGTATCGTATTTTTCAATACGTTCAAAGAGAAATATTAGTTTTTTTACATTAAAGTTTCTAGGTGTAGAGTTGATTAACATTTTGTTGCGTTTTCTTTTTTCAGCTGAACTAAAGAAGCTGGAGGGCCTGAAAACTGTTGCAGTAACAACTAACGGTATTAACTTATCCAGGCTCTTGCCAAAGCTGAAAGAAGCTGGTTTGGACCTGATCAACATCAGCCTGGACTCCCTGGTGCCGGCCAAGTTTGAGTTCATCGTCAGGAGAAAGGGTACGAGAAATGTATTTAACGACAACTACAGAACTTGATGCTTAAAGTTTACAGTGTAGTATTAAAAACAATTCTGAAGAAAAAGAGAAACCAAATAAATGATTGATTAAAGCTTTAGTTTATTATATTATTGGTTATTACTGTAGTGATCTCAGTTAAATGTTTACCATCCAATCAGATGTCCAGTTGGTCTTTTGAGTCCTCTATTATTTTGCTTCTGCTGTTTTTATGTTAAACCACGAGCTGCCAAAAGCCACAGTCTGTCCTTTTTGTGTTATTATTGTTGAACGTCTCCAGCTGGTTACAGAAAAAAGGCTGTAAGCCCCAAACACACACGGAGCAGAGGAGGTAACAGCAGGGCAAGGCTCTGGGAGGCTGGCACAGATGGACAGACTGAGATTAGGAAATGAAGGAAAGAACAAAAAAGACTGGAATCAAATCCCAGCTTTCAGTGTGCTTATTTAAGATTAGTAAAACAATAAATGTGATATTGTCATTGTGGGAACTTTAGAATAAACATAGACCTCAACCCCAACATTGATTATTACCCATAGGTGCAACTGGAGTTTGTTTTGCGCTCATGGAGACAGATAATGAGCATAACCTTGACAATTTATTGGTAAAAGTGCTTCTGAGAGTGTATTTGCAGATGTGTACATATTTCTCGCTGTTGAACTTGAAAACAGTGAGTGGCAATTCTAATTTGAAGGTCTTCAGAACATATCTGAGACATTACTGTTTTGATTTCTGTTTAGTTCAATACAAAAAGCTTCCCAACTCAGTGAGACCCTATAGAAACATGGCGTTATCGTTAATGATATCTTGTCTGACATCTTTTTTAATTTTATTTCAGGGTTCCACAAAGTCATGGAGGGCGTTGATAAGGCGGTTGAATTAGGCTATAATCCCGTGAAGGTGTGTTTATCGTTTCAAACTAAATCATTTTTTAATCAAATTACAATTCAAATTTTGATCACATGTTGTGTATTAAGTTTTCTTAGATCACTCAACAGAACATAACTAATCTTGTAACAAGATAAATGTTAATTTTTAGCAGTTACTTTTACAAGTCTTTGTCGGGTAGAGTTGCACAGAGAAACCACATGACTGTTCACACCCTGTGTGTTTAACGACAGACTGTCATCTTACCAGTACACATGAAAAACCACACGTTTATTATTTGTACCCTGAGCTGAGCTTTAGTGAGGCTTTTTTACTAAATCCAAAGGTATTCTTTAGATTTTTGTTCTCCATAAATAATTATCAACAACGTGTTTGCAAATCATTTGTCTGAAAATGGAGAACCGAAACGAGAGCTGAAAAGCCAGAGCCTTGAGGTGATTAGAGGACCATTATACACTGACAGCTATATTCCAAGTACTGGATTATTTTTTTTTCTAAAATACGTGAAAATTCTAGATATGATCTCTACGAGTTTACGTTGAAAAATTAGTCAAGCTCAAAATGTCTTGTCCTTTGAAACACCTTACAAAACTGAACATATTTGTTTCCCTTAAAGGATAAAGTAATACAAACCCTCAAAGAATGAATAAAAACTAAGGCACATGCATGGTAGCTGTTTCAGATTGCCTTTTTATTAACTGCTCTGAAGGCCTGACAAACCTCTGAGACGTCACTTGAGTACCATCTACTGGTGGATCTGTCAGCTGCAGCTGTATAAAAATCCTCAACATCTATTGTTAATGTGTCGAACTGTTAAATACACATCTTTCCACCTCCTGTAAATAATTTTGCAAAGATTTATACAGGCTGTTAAAATGTCCTCCCACTTTGTGTCTTTTAGTGTCACATCTTTTTACCGCTAAATAAAAAGTGTTGTTGCCTGCTGCAGATCAACTGTGTGGTGATGCGAGGACTCAACGAGGATGAACTCTTGGATTTTGTGTCGCTGACAGAGGCGAAACCTCTGGAGGTGCGCTTCATTGAATACATGCCTTTTGATGGTGAGTTCTGATTTCCCACAATGCTCCACTGCACAGTTTTATCATAATATAGGAGAAATCATTGTTCGACCCCAATTTTTTCTTGTTTATGCGCTACGAACAAATAAACAACCATTGCTTTTTGTCCTTGTAGGCAACAAGTGGAACTTTAAGAAGATGGTGAGTTACCAGGAGATGTTGGACCGGATCAGGCAGCAGTGGCCCAAACTAGAAAGGCTTCAAGCTGGACCTGCAGATACTGCAAAGGTCTGTATCTCCAACAAGCAATGAGGCATTTCTGAAGGGCTGATTTGCTACTGATTGTCCTGAAATAAATTTACTCAGAACACGATTAGCCAAAACTAAATCCAGCAACACTTGAGCATGTGAATCTGTACAAACAAAATTAAGCTGTTTGTTAATAACTTGTGTGTATTTGTTTCTTAAATGGTTCACTCTTCTCTGTTCTGTAACAGATGTTTAAAGTTCCTGGTTTCAATGGTCAGTTGGGCTTCATCACTTCTATGTCGGATAATTTTTGCAGCTCTTGCAACCGTTTACGCATCACTGCAGATGGAAACCTCAAGGTAAAGCCATCAAGTTTAAATAATTAGTATTTTTGTACCAGCAATGATTCTGCTTTTGACTTGTTCTCCTCCTTGTCTCTCAGGTGTGTTTGTTTGGGAACTCGGAAGTCTCCCTCAGAGATGTTTTGCGCTCTGGAGCATCTAATGAAGAGCTGCTGCAAATTATTGGAGCTGCTGTGGGGAGGAAGAAGAAACAACATGCAGGTAGAGATGCACACAGAGCATCATATACTGGATATACTCACAGACTGCTGCATTGTTTTATGTTTCTTGAATGTAAGATTAACTATTCTTTTCCTCCCCAGGAATGTTCAGCATCTCCCAGATGAAGAACAGACCCATGATCCTTATCGGTGGGTGACTCAGCTGTACGTACAAAATCTTTCACACTTGGTTGTTTCTGTTGCTTTAATGGATGATTTTTTTTTTTCATTGTACTTGATTTTTTTTTCTCAACAGACCTATCCAAGACATTTCTGCCTAAACTGCAAAACAGACAGAAGGCTTCATCCATCGTCCTTCAGCCTAAAAATGAGACTCTCTTTCATCCAGCTGCAGCTCCTCTTGTGTCCTGTTCAGGCAGAACAAGCGTCATGAACACAGAGGAGTTTCTGTGCCTTCCAGACTGCACCACCGCAACCCAGGCAGTTCTGAGTTGCTGTTTTAAAGCCTCCAGGTGGGATGGTTCTCAAGCTAAGATGCATATCAGCAAAGAAAAGTGCCACAACGTAGCTTCCCTTCACTCGTCCGAGCTTGGTTTAACTAACACCAGCTGTCACACTAAGACTGCAAGTTTTAAGACACACACAAATATCAATTTCAGTAATGGAAACTTCCTCAGGTACACACAAACTCTGGGTCCTAATAATGTGAAAAGCCACGTACTCGGGACCCAAGGTTCTTTTTGCACACTACCAATAAATGCCACAATGAATCCTAAATATCACAGTGTTCGGTTGTTTCATAGTCACAGCTCAGCTGAAGACGACAAACAGTCTGTGAGGGATCAGTCTCTGTCAGTGTGCAACACTGAAGCCCAGCTGACGCACACAGACACCCAGGGCCGAGCCACCATGGTGGATGTTGGCGGGAAACCCCCCACATGTCGAACAGCCACAGCCTGTGCCACCGTCATCTTAGGCTCTACAGCGTTCTGCTTGCTTCGGGAAAACCAGCTGGCTAAAGGTGATGCTCTGACTGTGGCACAGCTGGCTGGCATTATGGCTTCAAAGCAGACGTCGGCTCTCATTCCGCTCTGCCACCCTCTCCCCTTAGACCACGCTTCTGTCATCTTTCAACTCGATGAGCTGCAGCACGCTGTTATCATCACTGCAACCTGTCGCACTACAGGCAGGACGGGGGTGGAGATGGAGGCGCTCATGGCCGTCTCCGTGGCTGCGCTCACCGTCTACGACATGTGTAAAGCTGTGAGCCACGACATCATCATCACAGATGTAAAACTGGTCAGCAAGACAGGTGGAAAGAGAGACTTCCACCGTCACCTAATGCAGACAGACTGAGGGAATGACCTGTCAGCAACATGACACATTTATCCATGGACATGGCATGGACAGTTTTCCAAATCTGTAGTACAGTTTTTACAGATGTTTGTCTCACGACTCTATATTCTAATTACTTGTTACTGTTTGTTATATGCTACCAGTAGCTCCCTTTAATCATCAACTCACCTGGCCTTTAAATAATGGATTGTTTTTTAAATCGAATCATGTTAAATAAAAAAAATGTTCATGCTTCCTTCAGGTTTTCCTATGCAAATAAATCAGTCGCACATGAGCTTTTGTTTCTTGTTCTTTAGGCCTCTAGGTGGCACACAAGTATTAAACGTACAGTGGTGTTTAAAGTTTGTGAACCCTTTATAATTTTCTATAATTCTGCATAAATATGACTTAAAACGTCAGATTTTCACACAATTCTTCAAAGTAGATAAAGAGAACACAGTTAAATTAGACAAAATAATACATTTGGTCATGCATTGATTGAGGAAAACGATCCAATATTACATATTTGTGAGTGGTAAAAGTATGTGAACCTCTAGGATCAACAGTTAATTTGAAGGTGAAATTAAGAGTCAGGCATTTTCAATCAATGGGATGATGATCAGGTGTGAGTGGACACCCTGTTTGATTTAAAGAACAGGGATCTATCAAAGTCTCCTCTTCACGACATGTTTGTGGAAGTGGATCATGGTACGAATGGTCACACCAGATACTGACTGCAAAGGTTCACATACTTTTGCCACTCACAACTATGTAATATTGGATCATTTTCCTCAATAAATAAATGATCGATGATGTTTGTTAGTACACCATAATATTAAAATAAAAACAACATTTTGTGTCTTGTAATTTGCTCTCGTTTTGTTTTAAATCTAATCCAAGACATTCATGTTCTTGTTTTAGTGTTGATGAAATATTCAAGTTGAGATGTTTTATTCACTTCAAAAGTAAAATCCTTGTGATTTTCTATGCAACAAAATAACTAAATATTACTAATAATACTAATAAATAAAATTCTTTAATAATAAAGAATCGGGTCGTTTCTGCTCCTGTGTTCAAGTTTCAGAAGATTTTTAAGTGAGTATCTATTCAGTTCATAGTTTGATGCTTCATGATATTCATAGTTTTTTCAAAATTTATAGAAAAGTGGGAACAGCTAGAATTTAAATGTTTCAACAATTTCCCCAAAAAATATGTACAGTATATATTTTTATATAGCTGTCATTTTAAAGGTAGACACTGCACTGTCTCTTTTTCTGTTTTTGCAGAATAATGTAACATTTTCTCTACTTTTATTCAGTAGGTGTCCTGCACAATAATAATATTAATAATAAAAAAAACTGAACATTGAAATTAATTGATGGTATTAATGATGATGCTGCAGCTGAAAAGATTCAGGAATATTTAAAAAACAGATTATTATTTTATTAAAATTGGTCTTTCAAATAGTTGCTTTGCACCTCAGGAAGAAAAGTAGCTTTGTGACTGAGAGACAAGAAGTTGGATTAATCCACCCTTCTGAGCAGCCCAGCCTCAGCTTCCCAAGTGTTTTTGGCAAAAAGAATAAAAAACAGAAAAACTGAAGGTACTTTTCAAACGTCTTCATAAAAGTAACATAACAATTTAAATTCAAATAAATCCAGTTCAGTTTATTTATATAGTGCCAAGTCACAACATAAGTCATCTTAGGGCACCAAACAGAAACATTCATGTATAAAAAGTATAAGTTAACATATGCACTCATATATAAAAACAATAAGTTAACACTAACAGGAGCAGACTGCTTTGAATTTAACTCCATTACAGAACTCTCATCTTGAGCAAGCATGAAGGTGAAAGTGGAAAGGAAAAACTCCCTCATGAGGAAGAAACATTTAGCAGAACCAGGCTCAGGACAAGCGTCCGTCTTCTTTGGCCGACTGGGTTTGAGAGGAACAGATACACAATAGCAGGTCAAGAATCACATGTTAGGAAAATCTTAAGCCCAGTCTTAAAACTGGACAACGTGTCAGCCTCACGGACAGAAACTGGAAGTTGGTTCCACAAAAGAGGAACCTGATAATTGAAAGATCTTCCTCCCATTCTGCTTTTGGAAACTCTAGGAACCACAAGTAAACCTGCAGTCTGAGAGCGAAGTGCTCTGTTAGGAAAATATGGAACAATAAGATCTCGAATATAAGATGGAGCTAGGTTGTTGAGGGCTTTGTAGGTTAGAAATAATATTTTGAATTCTATTCTGAAATTGACAAGGAGCCATTGGAGAGAAGCTAAAACTGGAGCGATATGATCTCTCCTACTAACTCCAGTTAAGACTCTGGCAGCAGCATTTTGGATCAACTGAAGACGTTTTAAAGAAGTATTTGGACACCCAGATAACAAACCATTGCAATAGTCCAGTCTAGATGTGACAAATGCATAAACCAGTTTTGCTCCATCATTGTTAGATGTTTCTAATTTTAGCGATATTACGCAGGTGGAAGAAGGCAGTGCTAGTAACATTTTTCTGGGTGGAGTTTTCATGTTCTCTCCATGCATGCGTGGGTTTTCTCCAGGTACTCCTGTTTCCTCCCACAGACTAAAAACATGCATGTTAGTCTGATTGGTAACTCTAAATTGTCCCTAGGTGTGAGTGAGAGAGTGAATGGTTGTTTGTCTTGTTTGTCTCTATGTGTCTCTGTGATGGACTTGTGACTTGTCCAGGGTGTCCCCCGCTTCTTGCACAGTGACTGCTGGACATGGGCATCAGTGATCCAGTGGATACACTGATGGGACACATATCGGACATCAACAAGTCCAATGTGCGTCCCATCGGTGTGTGGATGTATTCCAAAGCACTAATTATTCTTTGTAGAGATATAGTAGAGTGCTGCACGAATGGGTAAATGAGGTCACAGATTGTGTTGTAAAGCACTGAGTATCTTGATAAGATAGAAATGCATAATATAAATACAGTTTGTTTATCATTATTTACCAGGTAAATCCTATTTAGATCACAGATCTCTTTTGCAATGGAGTCCTGGGCCTGAAGGCAGCTTAACATGCATGTTTTGTGGGAGGAAACCGGAGTACCTGGAGAAAACCCACGCAAGCACGAGATGAACATGCAAACTCCACACAGAAAGACTCCATATCCAACTGGGAATTGAACCCAGGACCTTCATGTTGTGGGACAACAGTGCTCACCACTGAACCATCGTGTTGCCAAATTAAAATGTACTGCTTTCAGTCTATTAGTAAAATATCACATGAACGTCTAGACTGATTTTAACAAATCTTTGTTCTCTTTAAGTAATCTCTGGATGTACATCTACACCTGAATGACGTTTTGAATCAACCCAAAATCACATGACCATCACAGCTAGTTAACCTTGACAAACATCAAAATGGCCACAATTCAGTTTTGGCAAACGAAAGAATGAACAATATTTATTCCTTCAAGGGATGCCAGATCTTTATTTTTCAATAAACTCTATGAGAGTCTTGAAAATACACACAGCATCCATAACTTGCTGCATGTTTGAATTAATATACTCACACAGACTCATTTTTTTTTCTTCTTCTTATCAGTCTGGATATAATTACTTTGTCAAAACTTACAAATCTGTAACACTTTTCTGCATGGAGTCTACATAAAAAAAAAAAAAAAGAAAAAGATTATATATTGCATCCAGTTTGTGTTTTTGTTGTTTGAATCCAGTCATCTTCTTTTAAACGTTTATGTTTTTATTTGTGCAGATTTAAACAAAGAACAACGTAAAGAATCTTCAGAAAAATGTAGTGATCTTTTTCAAATTGTTCAATTTATAATGTTTGGATTCAAGGCAATGAACACAGCATGATGGCTTTTCTTGTATTTTTATCTCACGTTGAAGACTTTATTAATCTTGTAAATCTGAATATTTCTCATTATAAAAAAACATTTTATTTTTAGTCTTAAGATTCTATTTGACATTGAAATAATATGCATTTATTAAAGATACTTCACTTTTAATTTTTTTTAATTCATTTGAATCATTTTACTTTATCTTTTTTTTTCAGTATAAGCACATCATGATATTGTGGAGTTTTTGAGTTAAATATGACTTTTTGAGATTATGTAATAGCCAGTAATCTGTGAAATTCAATAAATAACTGGACAATGTATGTTCTTATTTAAAATGTCTTCATTATGAGGCTGCTGGTGGTCAGTGATCCTGAGGTTCCAGGTTTGAGCCCAGGCTTTGTCAGGAAGGGCCTCTGGTTTCTAACAAATTGCTAAATCTTTCATGTGAGTTTGCACGGTGTGTCAATCCCTGCAGCCGAAATAATTTTACTATTTTAAATGTTTTATGAGATTGAATATATTTTGGATTAAACTGATCATTTGATAATATGAAATATGTTTTATTGTCTTTAATTTATCCAAAAATAATAAACAATAATAATAAAATCAGCTGACTAACTTGTCACATGTTGCAGGTGTGTGTTATAGCATGTTTTGCAACATTTGGTTTATTTAACAATCTGATTGTTAGGAGAGTTGTGATGAGGCTTTCTTCAAATATACAAAATATATCTACTCTGTTTCAACATGATGCAAATCTTTATTACAGTCTCAAGCTGCAATTAAAAATAAAGTTTTATATACTGCATTTATAGATTTTAAATGTGTTTATAAATGATTAAAATAACCAATCTTGATATTGTGTAACATAAGATGATTATAAATTGGCGTTAAAATTAATTAAAATCCAAATTTTGATATTATCCCAGCTAAAGCTTTATTTTTATTGTGAATTTTCCAAATCAGAGAGCTGCAGTACCACCAGAATATTTTCACAAATCGAACACATTTTTCTACAACAATAAAAACAACAACATGATATTATAGGGCATATTGTATTCTGGGCAGCACGGTGGCACAACTGGTAGAGCTGCTGCCTCTCAGCGAGCAGGTCCCTGGTTCAAATCACGGTCCTGGAGCCTTTCTGGGTGGAGTTTGCATGTTCTCTCCGTGCATGCCTGGGTTTTCTCCAGGTACTCCGGTTTTCTCCCACAGACCAAGAACATGCATGTTAGGCTGATTGGTGACTCTAAATTGTCCCTAGGTGCGAGTGAGAGAGTGAATGGTTGTTTGTCTCGTTTGTCTCTATGTGTCCCTGTGATGGACTTGCGACCTGTCCAGGGTGTACCCCGCCCCTCGCACAGTGATTGCTGGACATGGGCACCGGTGACCCCATGACCCAAAATGGAAGAAGCGGGTAAAGATAATGGATGGATGGATATTGTATACTGCAGAATTAACTCAGAGTTACACAAACACAAGCTAAATCTTGAAACCTTCAATCCTCAAACTCCTAATAAATCCATTTATAGTTATTATTTTAAATTTTACATTTTAGGAGAGATGGTAAAACATTACTGTATTTAAAAATCTAATTTAGAAGGACACCGGTGAGAGGACAGGGAACCAGAGCTCTCACAGTCATGAGGAGGAAATCAAGGATTTTCTGTGGGTCCTGGAAGAACCATCTTGTTTTGGAGGCAGCGCTGAAAGATAACTGTTCCTCTACTGCTTGTTCTGGCTACAAGGCTCCACAAGATGGAGATGTGATTTAATGCCTTTATGATACTGTTATGTTCTGTCATGATGCTGTGAGTTTGTCCCTGTGTGTCCCTGTGATGGACTTGCGACCTGTCCAGGGTGTACCCCACCCCTCGCACAGTGATTGCTGGACATGGGCACCGGCGACCCCCTTGACCCAAAATGGAAGAAGCGGGTAAAAGATAATGGATGGATGGATGGATGGATGATGCTGTGAGCAGATGCACTGCCTGCTTGTTAAACTAAACTAAACAATCAAAAACAAAATGAATAAATAAAACAAACTTAAAATTGTGAGATCAACTTTATTCAGAATTTGAGATCACATTTGAGCAGGAGACTTCATCACTGCTTATCACCTCTTCTTTCTTGGGGAGGGGGCATTGTTTTGTCTGTTACTGTATGTTTGCTGCTCGAGTCCTTGATGCAACCAACTAAAGTGTGCCAAAGTGGTTCAAAATATCCTGATCCTGATTTGAACCACTTTAGCTAGGATTGCCTCAAACTAGTTCGAGAGTTTGAGCAGGTGACGGGGGAGAGGGCGGACTACAGGAACTACATGAGCACCAGCAAACTGGTTGATCCACTATGAGAAGGTGATATTTATAAGACTGGGTTTGTTGCAGCTCCTCAGACTGAAGAAGTCTTTTGGATTAAAGACGAAATGTTTCAACAAGAAGAAAACATCCAAAGAACCTGATTTAACTCTGTTAGATTTTTCTACCTGGATTATGGAGCATGCATCAGGACACTCCTCAGTAAATTCATTTGTAAGACATGTAACTCAGAGGTTTGAAGTTTACTGTCTTTGAGATTTGGTGATGAATTAGATGAAGACATTTTAGGATTTCCTCCCATTAAAGAATGAATGAACTGTTAATTTTTTCGTTTGTCAGTACACCATAATAGTAAAATAAAAACAATAATATTTCGCAAGTCTTGCTATTTGCTCTCATTTTGTTTTAAATCTAATCCAAGAACATTCATGTTCTTGTTTTAGTGTTCAGGTATTTGATGAAAAATTCAAGTTCAGTAGATGTTTCATTCACGTTAAAAGGTAAATTTCTCGTGATTTTCCATGCAACAAAATAATATTCAATCTGTCTTTTGATCCAATAGTGTTTTTTTTATTTCTGTTCAACAATATCACTAATGATATGTCACAATTAAAGTATTGTGGCAACATTGTGATATATGTATCTTTCTGAATATTAGAAAGACGTAAAAAAATGTTTCTCTGATGGTTATCAAGGGCTGAATGATTCTTAACATGAAACATGAAAATCACCACTTTTGTTGGTTGAATAGTTATTTTCTTTTTCCCTCTGATCCTGTCTCTGTGTTGTCACTCTCAGATTAGTTTCTTGAAGAAATAAATATTTAAATCTGTTAAGTGAAAACAGTTGTTTTAGAGTCATCCATTATTTCACCTATTACTATGTCGCTAATTGATAACATCTATATCAAAATATGGGTAAATTGTTCTACTTGTCTATATAAATACACCACCATATGTGTTGTTGACTAACAAACAATCTGAATAAATTTTTTCAATTCAACCTTTATTTATACAGGTTAGTCTCATTGAGCCTGGAGGACTCATTTACAAGAGAGACCTGGTTTAAATCAAGAACAGAGTAGACAACCTTAAAACAACATATAAAATGAAAAGTAAATGGAATAATTATATAAAACTCAAAAGAAAAACAGCTACTTTATAAAACAATGTAAAATACCAAAACAGGAACTAAAAACAGGAACATAAGAATGAATGATTGTGTGATAATGTCATGACATTTTTTTTTTTTCTGGAAGAATAGTATATTTTTTTTGTTGTGTATTGCTCCCTATAATTGCTTTTGAACATTGGACATTTGACACTACAGTTTACCCAACATACCTCTTTATATATACTGAACGCTGTCATCATTTCAGAACAGGAACTACGTGCAGACAGTGAAAACACAAGACTAAAACCGAAAGTATAACAGGTACAAAGCTGCCTGGTATCTAAGCCGTGTATGTGTTATATAATGAGGTTCCTCCTCATTTGTTTTTCTTGGAAGTCACCTCCCCTAGAAATTTCCCTACATCTGAACACTGTCTGATTTATTCTCACTTGTACAAAGTAAAAGTCAGAATCCGGTCGTTTCTGCTCCTGTGTCAAGTTTCAAAAGTTTTCTAGGTGAGTAGCTATTTAATTCATAGTTTGATTCTTCATAATTTTCATAGTTTTGTGAAAGTTTATAGAAAAATGGGAAAGGCTTAAAGTTAAAATGTTTCATTAATTTAAAAAAGAAAAAAAAATCATTTTATATAGTTGTCATTTTAAGGTAGACACTACAAATTCTCTTTCTGTTTTTTTTTTTTTTCAGAATATTGTAACACTTTCCCTACGTCTATTCAGTAGGTGTCCTGCACAATCTAATATTAATAAATAAAATAAAAAAAAACTGAACAATGAAATGCATTCATGGTGCTGATGCTACTGCAATATATTCAGAAATATTTAGAAAACAAATTGAGATGGAACAAGTCTGTCTGAATGATGTCAAGTGCAAATTGCAAAAGCTGGAAAGCCTTAGCAATTGCTTTAGCTCGACAATAAACAACTGTGTCATCAGCATAGAAATTTTAGGATGCATCAGGGATGCTCTGACCTACATTACCTATGTAGATTTTAAAGAGGGTGGGTCCTAAGACTGAGCCTTGTGGTACACCATTGCTGACTGTTAAATAATGGGAGGAAGTACCATTATGTTGAACACACCGCCTCCGATCTGAAAGCTAGTTAAGAGAACCAACCAACGGTATGATCTGAGAAACCAATTTCTGAGAGCTTATGACACAAGATGTCATGAGCCACAGTGTCAAAAGCTTTAGACAGGTCTAAGAAAAGTGCAGCACAATAATCCTTAGCATCCAATGCTTCAAGAATGTCGTTAAAAACATTCAGTGAAACAGTCGTTGTGCTGTGTTGTTTCCTGAAACCAGACTGATGGGGAGGTAAGATGTTAAATGAGTCCAAGTAATTTTTGATTTGAGATTTTATCAGTTTTTCTAGAACCTTGGCTAAAATGCAGAGTTTAGAGATTGGTCGATAGTTGTTCAGTGAGGTGGGGTCACCTCCCTTCAACAAAGTAGAACAAAAGCTGTTTTCCAAGCGTCTGGAATGGAGTTTTGGCTTATGGACAGGTTAAAGATGTGGGTCATGGGAACTGTGATGAAATGAGCGGCCAGCCTTAAAAAAATAAGGTGGAAGTTCATCTGGTAAGGATGATCTATGGTAGAGAATTAGAACACAAGAGGAGGAAAAAAAAAAATTAAAAAAGGAACAGAGACTGGTAAAAGAACTGATGAGGATGAGGAAGACAGAACTGATATAAGAAAGAAGATAATGATGGAAGATGTCTAAGTTATAGTAAAATTTAAGACAGGACAGTATATGGTTGGAGTAAGTCCTATCAGTTTATCAAATGGGTTAAATAAAGCGATTGGGGATGCAGATAGTTAAAGTCCTATGGGATGGAAGTCTGCTTATCATTTATAAATATGCTGAAGAAAAGCGTGCAAAAAGGAAGTGCTGGAAGGAAAGATTGTTGGGGAAGAAAGAGGATATGCTGGTGAAGATTCTCAGTCATCCAGAACATGATTGATTCAAAAAGCGTTCAATACAAAAACAACTGGACTTTATTTGTAACAGAAGACGTTTCGCTCCTCATCCGAGGAGCTTTCTCAATTCAAACAGCAGTGAGTGAGAGATTCAGGTTATAAGGCTGAAGAAAGAGGACTAAAAGGAGTAATTTCAGAGATTCATGTAGGAGAAAATCTGGATTAGTTAAAGAAAGTAATAAAAGGAGGAGATATTTCAAGCATTAAATGATTACAGGTTTCTGGGATGGAGAAAATTAGACAGTATGGCTGTGTTACTGGCGTTCAAAAATAAAGTTCTGCCTGATGAAGTTATGATACAATATATGAGCTTTAGTGTGACAGTCTATGTTCCACCTCCTCTAAGATGTACAAATGTCAAAGACATGGACATATTGCTAACGTCTGTAAAGGCAAACACACCTACAAACAAACAAACAAACAAACACCCCCACCCCCTGAACATAAGAAGATCTGTGGTGGAAGTGGTCTCCAGTTACAAGTACTTCGGTGTGCACCTGGATGACAACCTCAGCTGGGGCAACAACACTACCAGCCTGATCAAGAAAGCTCATCAGAGACTCTACTTCCTCAGGCAGCTGAGACGAACTGGTCTGGGAAGCTCAGTCCTCACCTCCTTCTACAGGTGTGCAGTGGAGAGCATCCTGTGCTCCAGCATCAACGTGTGGCATGGAGGCTGCACAGCTGCAGAAAGAAAAGCTTTGCAGAGAGTGGTGAAGGCTGCACAGAAGACTGTTGGAGTCAGCCTCCCCACCATCACAGACATTTACACCTCCAGATGCAGGAAGAGAGCCACCTGCATCATGAAGGACCCCACTCACCCAGCACACACACTTTTTGCCCCGCTCCCCTCAGGAAGGAGGTTGAGGAGCATTAAGTGTAGAACCACTAGACTGAGGAACAGCTTCTACCCTGAGGCTGTTAGACTCGTGAATCTCTAACCAGGACAATCACTGTAAAATATCACATCATGTTGCTGCTGATCTGCTGATTAGTGCTTAGCATATTTTTAGTTAACATTTTTCTTAGTTCATATTTTAGATCTTATTACTATTTTTCTTTTACATTTTATTGTTGGATGTAACTGAGACCCTGTGTACATAATTTCGTTCCACAACATGCACCACATGAGGTGCGAATGACAAAGAAAGAAACTCTGACTCTGACTAATTGATCAAACCTATAAAATTATGTAGCCAAATTGATGTACAAAGTAATTGTCTATATAAATGCACAACCATCTCTGTTGTTGATTAATTAACAAATAATCTGAATGACTGAAGTGTGTGTCATGATAATTTCATGAAACTTTTTTTGCTGGAATAGCTTTTGTGTGTGTAACACTCCCCCACATTGGCTTTTAAATATTTGACATCGACATTTGACGTTTGACATTACAGATTACCCAACACGTCTCTTTAATTATGGTCAAAATTGTCACAGTTTCAGAACCAGGTTATACTGTAGGTGCAAACAGTGAAAACACAAGGCTAAATCCAAAAGTATAGTAGATGTAAAGCTGGTATTTTTAAGCCACATGTCAGATAATGCTAAGGGGTGTCAATTTCCTCTTCCTCTGTTTTTCTTGTAAGTCACCTCCCCCAGAAGTTTCCCTACATCTGACCATCGTCACCTTCTCTGACTTATTCTCACATAAGTGTACGTCAGAATCGGGTCGTTTCTGTTCCAGTGTTCAAGTTTCAGAAGTTTTATAGGTGAGTAACTATTTAGATCATAGTTTGATGCTTCATGATTTTTTATAGTTTGGTTAAAGTTTATAGAAAAATGAGAACGGCTTACAATTGAAAATCCATCCATCCATCCATCCATCCATTCATTTTCTTTACCCGTTTATTCCACTTTGGGTCATGGGGGTTGCCGGTGCCGATGTCCAGCAATCACTGTGCGAGGGGCGGGGTACACCCTGGACGGGTCGCAAGTCCATCACAGGGACACATAGAGACAAATGAGACAAACAACCGTTCACTCTCTCACTCACACCTAGGGACAATTTAGAGTTACCAATCAGCCTAACATGCATGTTTTTGGTCTGTGGGAGGAAACCGGAGTACCTGGAGAAAACCCACGCATGCACATAGAGAACATGCAAACTCCACCCAGAAAGGTCCCTGGACCGGGGTTTGAACCAGGGACCTGCTCGCTGAGAGGCAGCAGCTCTACCAGTTGTGCCACCACAATTGAAAATGTTCATCAATTTATTAAAAAAAAAATCAATTTTATATTACATAGCTGTCATTTAATGTAGACATTACAAAGTCTCACTTTCTGTTGTTGCAGAATAATATAAGATTTTTTTCTACTTCTTTTGTATCTATATGTATCTATTGTATTATATCTGTATCTATACTAATGCTGCTGCTGCTGCAGCTGAAAAGATTCAGGAACATTTAGAAAACAAATCATTTTATTAAACACCAGTCTTTCAAATGCTTGCTTTGCACCGTAGTAAGAAAAGTAGTTTTCTGACACTGAGAGATAAGAAGTTGGACTGACCCACCCTTAAACTGAGCAGCTCAGCCTCATCCTCCAGTGTTTTGGCTACTTTTCAAATGTCTTCATACAAGTAAATAAAAATCTCAACATTGCCAATTCAGTTTTGTTATTTGGTTATAGAACCTGTTTAAATGTATATTTTATTAGATTACTTTAAAATGTTGTGGATCGGCCTTGTGTCACGTTAGGTGAATGAAAAGAGATGTTGAGGTCAGAACCCACATGCCCATGTCTGGTGATATGGACATGAACCTTAAAGGTTAATGAATGTTCAATAAAGGACTCTTTGTGGGTTTGTTGATTAAAATAAAAATTGTATGTGTGTCTGACAAGGTGTTGAAATAATCAGATGTTTTTATAATCTTTTTTCAAATCAAAAGCTATTTTGTGATTAAAAAGACGTATTCTTTAAGTGATTTTAAAAGTTAAATCTGGCTTTCACTTTTAATTAACAAGTCAAGAGAGTTTAGAAGTTTTATTCACCTTTGGTAATCATTAAGAGATTTGTAAGTTTAAAACTATCTCTATTAGTATTTTGTACCTTTAAGATTAAAGCTTCAGAGTTGAGAAACAGAGTAGCTGTCAAATAAGTTGCAGCGAACGGAAGGTGTGACAGGAAACTCAGCATCAGTGTGGTTAGCATTGGTGTCAGAAGTATCTGTAATAATAATATTTTTTTTAATGTGGGGGCACACATCCCCCTCACATATAACTGATGCAGCGCCTATGGGTTAGGCTTCACACACACATCTTTGTGGTAAAGATGTGTTGTGCGAAGTTAGGCTGCAAAAAATGCAAGCACTTCTGTCAGTTAGAAAGTCCCTAAAGACAGCTTCAAAATGGATGACAAGTTTTTCAAAATGGATGTTTGGTCACAAAAGAGCCAATCAGAGACAAGAGATGAGTTTAATAAGACAAGAACGCACAGTGAAATGGGTTCAGTCAGTTTTGGGTGAAAGGGTGAAACATAATGATTTAAGACTATGTATGATGATTAGACTGCATTGAATTTAATTCCATCACAGAACTCTCATCTTGAGCTAGCATGAAGGCAAGTTATGCCAATTTTTTGCAAATGTTATACAAGTTTCAATGATTAAAGCATAAATCATGAGGTATTGGATTCTTTGAGTTGAACATCTTTGAGGTCATTCTTGTTAGCTGAACACTGAAACAAAGTGTGTTTGGTTCTGAGACTTCTGAGGTTTTCAAAACGTTTTGCTTAGTTTTTGAATTTGTTGAACAGCATCCCTGTAGCGTTCTAGTCTAAGCTACTAAAATTTGACCAGATCAATTACCAATTGCAAACATCATTAAAGGGAGAGCAGACGTAGGGTCCCTCACAGTACACAGGTTGTTAGTATCTGGTCAAGTATTCCCTTAAATACAGAGGGCCCAATACTAGCGCTGTCTGGATAAGACTCAGGAGGCTAGGGAGATCCAATGACTCCATTTTTACAGAGGGCTGGACGGGTGCTGCACCATGAGATGAAAACACTTGAAAGGAAAACAAGGCTGGTTTTTTCGACTGTTAATAAGAACATTTTTATTTTATTTACCCTTTATTTATCCAGATAGTCTCGCTGAGTCACGAGAACTAATTTTCAAGAGAGACCAGTTTTGGGAGCAGATGGTGGGGGTTAAGGACCTTGCTCAAGGGCTGAGAGTGGGACAAATGAAGGTAGAGGCAGGTGTGGGTGCTTCACATTTTCCAAGCACATTTTGATGTTGTCAATCCGGGGAGTTGAACCTGTGACTTTCCGATCATTGGCTCGTCTTCTCTAACCTCTGCGCCACCACTCACCACTGCAATAGGGATCTATCTATCTATCTATCTATCTATCTATCTATCTATCTATCTATC